TCTATAAGAATACTCATTCAATCTTGCTAATCTCTTCTGACAAGATGTTGAGTTTTACTGTTAAATTAAGTGATAAGAACATCTACATTCTGAAAAAACAATTAATAACTAGAAACTTGATTTGATTTATAATATTAAATAATGAATTTAAATCTGTAAAAATTCTATAATCTGCAGAGAAAAAAGATTCTCTGCTAGTATTGCTTAATAAAAATATTAAGATTATTGAATATATAATGTTATAATAGCATTAAAAGCTTGATCATCTCAATTTCACAGATATCACTAAATTAGTGACAGATTCATAACTGAGAATGAGAATTAAAAGTGACAGAGCTTTGTCATTCTGTAAGACCTGTATACAGATAAAAATAACATATTCAATATTCATATCAATGACAAGAACTATTAAACCTGTAATAAGGTTCTTTATAAATCTTGTAGATAATGACTGTATACTATAAAATAAAATCAATCTCTCTACTCATGAAGCAGCTAATTATTGAATAAGTATTACACATGATGTCACATACTACAGATGAATTATTCTTATAATGTTAAAAAGTGAGATTACTGCATATTTGATGATCTTTATTGATGAAATTGAGATTACTACTTAATATTGAATTGAGACTTTACACTGAAATGACAGAGATAAATTTAAAAGTGATGAATTAAAGATCTACTGCTAATGAAAAGAGATCACATATAAGATTACTATATCTGATATATTACAGTTCAACAGCTCTGCAGAACATGTCAATTGTATTATAGATAAAAAGACAAGAAGCTTACTATTTAACAGCAGGCTTGTAGGAGAACTTTGAAGTGAAGCTATTTAAGTCATGATTATAATAATTAACACATTCTCAACATCAATAAAGATTTACAGATGTTAGAGAAGAATCTCATTATCTTCTTTTAAAGCTTGAACAGGTGTTCAATCTTCTGCTTATTAAATACACAGATGAAAATGTAAGATGTATAAGAAGAATCTGAAGATTATCAATAAGCTTACAGATAGAACTGACAGTAAGTAATAATAATTAGTTAAATATCAAGAACTGTATTAATATCATATCTAGAACCCTGCAATCTGAAAGCTTGAGATTGTAAGAGATGTTGTTTTTAATGAAGAATTAGCAATAGAAGAAGTATCAGTGAATGTTATTAGAGAAGTAGTCAAACTGTCAGAGAAATTAAATATTCTTGATACTATAAAGAGATGACAATACTGCCTTCTAAGAAGACTTGTAAAGAATAAATCTGATGTTTTAAAGATACTTACTGATAATGATATGAATAGCACACTGAAACTGACATATCTACTAGATAATGAGACAGAACTTGTTGATGATAATATAAATAACTTTATAAATGATGAAGATTCTGTACTCAGTATTCTTAATGATTATCTGATCACACTGACAGAGGCTAAAAGAAGTCATGACTGAGAACATTAGCATCAGATAATGAGAAAGGAAGTGGAAACTTTTAAACAGAAGAAGACATATATTGTTATTAAAAAGATCTCAGAAATGAATATTCTTACAGATAAATGAGTATACAATCAGAAATTGAATAACAAGAATGAAATTATTCACTTTAGAGCTTATTGAGTGATTAGAGGATTTCTACAATAACAAGATATTCATTATAATAAGTTATATGCAGCAGTGATGTCTGAATCTACATCACAGAGCTTATTCACTATATTAACAGTAAGGAGTTGAAAAGTCAGATTGATTGACTATGTATCTGTGTTTTTGAATAAGGTATTGTCTCAGAATGAGATGATATTTATGCAACTACTCACAGAGATCAAGTATAATTATGGTGAATTAGTAGAGCTTGTACATCAGAGCTTATACAGAATGAAATAGATAGTAAGAACATGATATTTTCTTACAATAGAACACTTGATAAATCTAGAATTCAAGATCTTATTATACAATGATGAATTTCTTTATTATTCAATTCATAAGTTATTCTTGACACTACATGTTAATGACTGTTGAATCACAGAATCTGAAGAGAGTGAAATTGAGTGAATTTTGATGAAAATCAGAAAAAGGTTTGAGACAAAAGAAGTTGAACAGAATAAATCTTACCTGAGAATGAAGATTAAATGCTAGAGAAATGATGATCTAGTGGTTACACAGAGCTATTATATTGAGAAGATTCTTGAAGATTTCAGCATAAATAAGATGAATTCTGCAGAAACCTCTATAATAACAGGCATATAACTGAAATTTTCATCTGATGAAAATGATGAATTGAATGATAACTTTACAGCTATGAGATATTATCAAGAATTGAGATTATTACAGTATTTGATCTCAAGCAGCCGGTCAGATCTGGCATTTACAGTCAACTATCTCTCATGTTTTAACTTGTATTCATACAAAGCATGTTGAGCAGCATTGAAGCATGTTCTACATTATATCAAGAAGATGAAAAACTATGGCATATTGTACAAGAAGAAGATAGAAGATAGTCTGAGTTCTGTGATATACTGTGATTCAGACTGAGCAGAGATGAATTCTTAATACAAATTAACTACTGACTATGTTATATTGATTAATGAGTCATCAATCTCATAGCAGTCACAGAGACAGACATCTATTACTAAATTAATCACAGAAGCTGAATATATTGCAGCTAGTAAGACAGCTTATAAGATAATCTGATTGAATGATATGTTATATGACACTGAGTTAATAAATGATGAAAAAGTAAAAATATGCTTATATCTATAAGTTGATAATAAGAAAGTAATTGATCTAGTAAAGGAAGAATTCTTAATACAAAGATTATATTATATCAAGATTAGATATCATATTCTTCACAATTTGATTGAAAAAGAGAAAATCATGATGAAACATGTTAGTTCTACAGTGAACATAGCTGACGGCCTTATCAAGTCACTGGCAAAGCCTGCGTTTGAAGATTTTATTAAAAGAATTGATTTAAAAGAGATTAGAAAAAAATGATTGATTATTATTATTATTATTCTTCAATTATAGATGTATATAGTCAGAGACTATGATATCTACCTGAGAATCTTTAGTTCTCAGAGTTTTTTCTATATCTATAGAGTCAACTATTATACACTTATTAATTTCAGATATATAAAATCAGAAAATTTCAGCTCAGAATATAAAAACTGTTTATAAATTACAGTATTTTAATATCTTTTAATACTTTGAAATCATTTGAAAATATCATGATAAAGAAAAAGAGAATATAGTCTTAAAGATAGACACATTAAATAGATAGATAGAAAAGAATAGAAAGAAATAAGTATAGTAAAGAGAGTTATAGAACAAGATCTCTACAGTTTACATCTTAAGCTATATACATATTTTAACACTCTATATAACTGACTGCTGTCTCTGTTCTCTCAGGCCTGCTTCAGAGATTATTATTCTCTTTAAAGAGCTACTACTCAGCTAGCTTCTATAACTAGTTTATTCATAAGTGAGATTCTCACTAAGAATAATATCAGAGCTACTCAATTCTAGTTAAGTCTCTAATCTTTCAGCTGTCAATCTCAGCATTTCAGTCTATTAATTGATTATCACAGTCTTACTTATACTAATTATCTATTAAGAATGTCTAGATCTCATCTTATTTAGATTCTTACTAGACTCAGAGTATTCTAATCAGATAGTTTTTAAATCTTATTTCTCAGAAGTGAATATCTAGAGTAAGAGAGATAAGATCTGATCAGTTAAGCTTAATAATGATTTACTATTCTACAGATATTCTAGATCTCAATCACTCTAGTACTGATCTAACTTGAAGCATCTGAGAGACTGTTAATTCTAAGATCAGTGAGAATTAGTGTCTGAGAACTTCTGAGATGAACATCTTAAGCTTGACAATGATTCACTATAGTGCATCCGGGGATCCCTGATACTGTTTTATAACTTAACAGTGAAAGCTGTGATTAAGATGGCCCTTGCAGGGTTTGAACCTGCCCCCTCTTGGCATTCATTCCCCAGGGGGAAGGCCGCTAATTGGGGCTCCATGGTAGCGTAGTTAACCACTACGCCACCGGGCCAAAGGAATGATTGAATGGTAATGATGATACAGTGAATCAATGGATTTTGCATGTATTTCTTGATTTTTACAGTTATTGCTGTACGGACGCCTTTCCTAATGAGGAAATCAGGGTCCGATTCATGTAATTAATTATTATTGCATTTTTGAAAGATTTGGGGATGGGAGAGGCCCCGGGTGGCGGCTTATAGACCACGGCGTAGCAAGGGGGGGTGTTGGTGATTACTACACCTACCCTAGTCACGTGCCACCCCAACCTATTTAGTGTAACTCGCGTAGTTAGATTACAAAAACAACAACGTTATTCTCCAAGACTGCAGATCTCAAAACATTTAATAATCTGATTTCTGCTACGTTATCTCATTAATTCTAGTTAACTATAAAGAGAAAGAAAAAGAAATTGAATTCTTCTTTTCTTTTTCTTTTTCTTTTTCTTTTTTTTTTTTTTTTTCATTCAACTCTTTTCATACATTCTCTACAGTATTTACATTCCTTATACTCTTCTCTCTGTGTTCATGGCATGTGCTGCTAAATGCCCTATAAGATGATCTCACATGATGTCATGTGCACCCCTTTGAATTCATGAATGGGATTGAACAGCTGGCTCTGCAGCCTGTACAGCTCTGATTAATCTGATAATGGTGATAGGGGTGATACGGGGTGGAAGAGGGTGGTAGGGGAAGAGGGTGGTAGGGGCGGTAGAGGCAGTGGTGGTGGTAGGGGTGGTAGGGGTGGTAGGGGGGGGGGTAGAGGTAGAGCGTGGAAGTGGTAGGGTAGGGGGCTGCGCAAGCAGCAAAGCGAGCGTAAGCGAGCGTTTGATGCTTGTGTATTATTAAAAATATTTTATTTTATTATCTCAATTACCCACTCTCTATTTCACTCCACTTCTCAGCCATTCCTTCCTTCTTCCGCTCACAACTTAGGGCTCATCGTTCTCAACAGTAGGAAATCGATGGAACCTCGAGCAACGACTGAGTCTTCCGCCTACCGAACCAGTGATTGGTCTGAGCAGTAGACGCCTCATTCTCCATCTCTTTCGCTCGTAGTTCCGGCGATGGGCGCTGAGGGGCCTACCTCATCTAATTAGTCCTGGTCTTAGACATCATCACACGGCCTGTCTACTTGTACGCGAGGGTCTGACCAGAGGTTGCAGGCGAGCGGTAACTTACCTTACTAGGGCCCGGTTTAGTGATGTGGCGCGGAAGCACAACTTCATCGCAATGCATGTTAACCCTAGTTACATACATAAACATCCTGGTTACATAACCAAGGTACCGTTCCAACCGTATATACAAAATATGCACATATTTATTACGTGTGTATATAAACACTACCCCCTGCCTGAATATATTCATCCCTCCATCCCAAAAATCCTATCCAACATCTCCTCCCCAAACCTCGCAGCACCAGGCGACATCACCATCCTCACCACCCGATTCCCGGAAACATTACTCAACCAATGCCCATTATCACTAAAACTCACAAGGTCATCGTCCCGCCTCTTCCGACTCCGCCGATCAACCACACACATCCCCCGCGTCCACTGGCCCGTCGTCTCCACGCGGATATCCTCCGGCGACCCGGCTGATGGCTGCCAGCCACCTTGCCGCTGTTTCTGCTGCTGTCCGCTCGTCGTGAGCACATACCAAACGCACAGCGGGTCGTGTAGGCTCAGCGAAGCTTTATCGCCATCGTGGCCTGGATGCAGCGCATCCAGGGTCGCGAAGCTGTGCTCGAGGATGATGGAGAGCCATTCTGCCAGCGGTGAGTTGGCGGATGCCATGGGCCCTACCTTGCTATAGAAGTGACCGCGGGTGAGGTTGTGCTGGTGCGTGATGTCGAGCGGGAAGAGCTTGAGGGTTAGTTGTTTGCTGAGCGTTGCCGGGTAGGCGGGGAGCTGGTGGGTAGTTAGTGAGGGGTTTATGGGCGGCATGGTTGATGTGGGCCGTAGGGAGGTGAGGGCGAAGACGCGGGCGGCAGCGGCGGCGTCCGCATATGTGTTGAATTCGGCGGTTGGGGTTACCTGGTGTATTTTATGCTCGTTAGTGCGAGTGGTACGGGGTGTCTGGATTATGGACGATTGTGTGTGTATACTTACGTTTCCAGGAATATCGATTGCTCCTCCCATAACCACTACCTCCTTTGCACGGAGGAATGTCTCTGGGTCTTCTGCGGCGGCCGTGGCCAGATTTGTAAGCGGGCCAATGGCCACGATCGTGATGGTCTCCGGATCGTTCTCCTTAAGGATCCGTAGCATTTCCTTGTGGGCAGGCTCTCTCGAGGCGATAAATAAAGAGTCGTGAGAATGATCCAATGCAGCCTTTGCTGTAGCTGCAGTCGCCCCGTTTTGAGTGGGGGGAAAGAATAGGGATTCCCATGTTTGCTCGGGAGTCAAATGAGGGTGCTGTTGTATTTTTGTTGATGTGTTATCCCTTAGATATCACATTCTCATTCTTGCATCCTTGTCAAAAAAGTTTGAGTGAACGGGGCGGATTCCGTACACTGAAATGAATATCTCCTAGCCCATCACGTCCATCTAAGACCCAACCAACGCAAGATAGCGGTCAGTCAAAATGGTCGCAGCACCATTAAAAGTCGATAATGTTACCAGACGATAGAAAGCCTCACGAAAATAATCAGCCATCATCATCTCATCCTCAAGGGGACGATTAGCCCCGACAGCAATCGTTGGCTTGCATTTCTTCAGGGAATCGAAACCTTCCGGTTTTCCATGTTCACGGCGCCACTTGAGCTCCCGCTCGATGGTATGGAACAGAGACACGAGATTCCGGAGGCAGCTGTGGGTTCATATAAAAACCACATTGCGGAAAAAAGATATCAGCATTCGATCTGACATATACATGTATCCCAAGATATGCAATTTTCTCCTGGGATAATGAAGAATGATACATCGCAAAAAGAGGGGTAAGAGAGCATTTATATACTCTCGCCTTGATCATTTATCAGTAGGAGGCAGTAGACACGCACCTACGGACATCGATGTTGCCAAAGGTCAGAGATATCAGCTTGACCTCGATCTCTTCGGAACGAGACGACAGAGCCAGGAGCAGGGCAAGGATGTCATCAACTCCCTGTTCCGCATGGTTAGGACATGGTTTCTTCTTCTTGATCTTTTGGTGCTTGTTGCAACGCAGGGCGCCAGAAACGACAAAAACAAGAAGAAAAAATAAAGGCGGTGGCTGTTAGGCTAGAGAGATAATCGAATATTCGTCCGGCTAAGTCGGGCGCGGTCTACTTGGAACGTCACGGACAGGCAGGACGCATTTTCCGAAAGGCATAGGCCAAGACTGAATATACCTGCGGAAACGGACGGACAAAAGAAAAAGTACGCATGTAAAATAATTTCAACTAATTTCAAACAAACGCAGCGGAGGGTTCCGGCCTCACAGGATCTGTATCAATTACGACTTTGCTCGGTGGCATGGTAGGAGTCGTATAGGGCAGCAAAGTGATAGTTAGGTTATCTTTATCGGTTTAATCGAAACTCAGCCCAACGGGGGTATGTGTCTTTGCGAGGCTTGATGATAGTACTAATAGCATAGAATAGGGCTGAAGTATTTGTTCTTGAAGGCGGGAACTTCTTCACGTTGAAAGCGGCGTTGCAGGAAGTTTAACGCTAGACTGGACTGTGCATGTATTATTAGAGTTTATACCTAATCATAGCTCAGACAAAACAAACTTTAAATTAAAATTCGTTATCAGTAAAGAATGTACTCTAAAAATAAAATAGTTAACAGAGCAAACTTAAAAGAAAAGCAAAGCTCAAAGAATTGATAGCTAACACAGTCCTAAAAGACTCATTAGTGTTATAACCATGCATGCCACCATAGCAATCCTAATCTAACATGCAAAATAAAAGAGATACATATACATGGCCGCAGTCCAGTGTTGTTTTCAGTAATACCGCATATTACACGATTTGGTATTTGATAATGTCACGTGGTATAAAATTACCCCCCTTAAATGACAGCTCGCGCCAACTTCAATTTGATTAATGAACCGGGGTCGATAGAGAGTTTGGCTAGGATTAATGAACGGAGTAATTACGGATTAGTTACCTACTCAGAATTGATGAAGAAGAGGTTGAAAGAATGGCGAATCGGAACAATGTCAGCTACATTCGGTGCAATGCCCGGGAGACTTCTCGATGGAGAGATATTTCAAGCGAACTCTGGCGGATCAAGTGTTTTCAATCAAGATTCAAGGCCACCACCATATGCAGTCTTTTCTCCCCTTGAATAAAGTGTCGGCTCACATTCTTAACCGCGGATTGCCTTCATATTCGGCGTCGGATACGAGCTCCATCATACTCCGTAGTAATAATAAAAATGATGTGGGGGAATTCGAAGGACCCCGGAATTTGAGACATTGGTAGTACATGTGCATACATACATACGCTAATAATAAGATACTCCTGGAAAGTGTTTTTCCTATGTTGTTCGTACCTATCATGAATTGAGCAACAAACACCGGAAACTAAGTAAATAGATAGTTCAGATAACTGAAGCCCATCCATCCATACATTATTGCAGTTCACATCACAACAACAGAGAGAGGTGGAGCTTCCTTCTGGCCTATTCGAAAAAAGGGGAGGGGACAAGGCCGAGACTGTGCAAGCGGGACAGACCTATATAGTAATAATCATAACAATAAGAGGGAGTTAAGGTTACAATACGCCTGTAACTAACGACAATACCGCCGGCGGTTGGGTGTTGGTTTGTGTGGAGTGGAAAGCTGGCCTCAAGGAAAAACGGCGCCTTACTAATCAAGCGGCCCTCGCCCTCGCCGCCGCCAGGAGAAGGTTGGAACCAGGGAATTCGCAGCAAGGGCAGCAGCGGACAACAGGCGAACTCACAACGCTCACCATCCTCCCGATCTGTTCTCTCCTCCTCCAGCTGTCACTCCTTTACACTTCCATTGCCTGTTTCCCAAACCATGCTGGTGCCTCAGCCTGGCATCTCGCTCTTTTGATTCCATGGTCTCTATTCGCTTTGACTTCCTCTCCCTGAACTATATATCCCAACCAATGATGACGCCAATTTGATAACCTTCATAACCTGCTACGCGCTGTGGAAGCTTGGTCGACCTTGCGCTTTTCTAACATATCCCCCCCATATCCTGCTCTCATCAAATTTCGAGATATCACCGCTTTAAACACTTCCTCCAGACTCGATTCTAAAGAAAAATCACCGTCTTACCTGCTTGAACCCCCTACTTCGTCGATCAACTTTCAAACATCCACACGCCCCGGCTTGCCGGCCCTATCGCAACACAGCCACGTCCGGAAAGCAAAACACCCAGATCCGTTTAAACACTACAGGAATCCTTTCCGTCAATCAAACCCAGTCTCTCATCTGCTCACGCGCTAACAGACCTGCTTCTGTCAACGCCTCAGAAGCCGTTTTGAGGAACCAGCTTATAGTTCCTTTTCTTGTCTAAATCTGGGGTTTTGACCCCGCTTGTCCCGTCTAAAGTTTCAATCTGCTTGTTCTATTTATAAAAGAGCTCACTCAAACAAGTATGTGTCCTCTTCCCTTATCTTTCATTTTGTGCTAGTCCATCCTTAAGTACATGAGTTAACGTCCCCTTATCGTCATGATAGAACCGAAAATGAATCCCTTCTTAAACTGGGCCATTGTGCTCGTCATCAGTGGCGGCCTCTTTTGGTATTATAAACTCAGATCCTGCCCCAGAGTCAGAGCTACACCACTGAAAGCTCTCGTGGAGAAACACGAAAATGGATATCTCTCCAAAAAGGCAAAGCGGAAAGCAAAACGATCCCCAGACAACGCCAGCAGCAGCGGCTCTCGTACTCCGCCTCCCAAACCCATCGTTCATTCTCCTGCAAAACAGGAGGTGGTTTCCTCCGGAGTACATAAGGCCGAGGCTGGTGATGAGGGGATGAACATCCAGGAGTTTGCCAAACGGCTTTCCAAAGCGAAAGAGGGCACCAAGCTCTCATCTGCGGATAGCAAACCTAATAAGCATCAAGTCCGCACTAAGAAAATTGTTAGCAGTGCCGTTGAGCCTGCCAACAAGGATATCACTGCCAAGAAGGATATAGCAGCCAGTAAAGATACTTCAGCCGAGAAGGATGTCACAGTTGAGAAGGACGTCACTATTGAGAAGGATACCACAGTTGACAAGGATGCCACAGCTGAGAAGGGTACCACCTCTAACGGAGATACCACAGCCGAGAAGGATGCCACGGAGTCGTCTACTTGCACTTCATCGACCACTGGGGGGGATGCGGACGATGACATGTCCTCCGTAAACTCACCTGTTGTCAATCCAACTGTACCCACGGCAGGTAGCGTCTCCGATATGCTGCCGCCTCCCCCAGCAACTATACCCGTCCTTCGCCTGGTTGACGTGTCTCAGGAGGCTGAACAGTCAGCGAAGAAAAATCGAAAGTCGGAAAAGGTCACAGAGACAAAGAAACAGCGCCAACGAAGGATTAAGAATGAAAATAGAAAGAAGATGGTAGAAGATGCGGAGAGGGAGCGCCGTATTCAACTTGAGAAACAACTCCACACTGCCCGTGAACATGAACGTCGCGAGGCTGCCAAATCTAAACCCCCTCCAGCTGCCAATGCCTGGAAAACAGAAAACAGCAGCAACAAACCAAATGGTCTGCGGCAATCTACAAATGAACCACCACCCACATCTTTTCTAGACACGTTTGAGCCAGCCGCTGAGCCAGCAGCCAACCCTCTCCCAACATCCGAAACCACAAAACCGTCCTCTTATTTAGAGAGTTGGGCCAACAACTTGCCGTCCGAGGAAGAGCAGATGCGCATCATAATGAGTGAAAGCGAGTGGACGACAGTCTGTAACCGCAAAAAGGAGCGAAGAAACGGCTCCAAGCACACCGGAAGCGTTAGTGCCAGTGAAACAAGCAGCTCTGACTTTCAAGCCGTAAAGGCGCCGAGACCGTCGATAAACCAACCTCCACCTCCACCAAAAACAAAAACACCAACAAGTGAAGCAGCAAAAGCTACACCCACTGCTCTGTTCCCTCCAAAACAAGAGACTTCTAACAGCAAAGGTCATCCCTTGGACTCTGACTGGGAGCCTTGATAAAAACTCCGCCACCAAACTCATAAACCAAAACGAAACAGGTAACCTACAATCCAAATGACAACGAAGTCAATACATACATCGATACACATAAATATCCATTTTTCTCAATCTATATTATATGAGCGCTTGAGTCATCACCGCTTCTCATTTCCGTTTTCAGTTTCCATCTTCTTTCTGTACTTTCAGGTGTTTTGATACTGATTCCCCTATTTTTCCAGTAGTTACATGGCGTTTGGGTCAGAGTGTTTTATTGTAAACAATTATTATATTCATTCTTGTCTTCTTTTGTTCTATTGTTCTTCTACTACTTCTGCTGCTGAGTCAGATTTGTGATCATTTCTTTTTGTACTGTATAATTTTTTGCATCATTTGACTTGTTTAACTCTTAACAATGTTTTTTTTCTCTTGTTACATTTGTGTCATATTATCATGCAATGTTTTATCAGAATTGTATATTTTATGTTTTTTTTCTTCTTTTATTATCTTTTCTTCTGTTAAATAAATGTATTGAGCAGTACTGAGTCAGAATAAACTCAGTCACTGTAGAAAATATAGTATAAAAATTGAAATTTTAAGTTAGATATAATAGAGAAGTTCTTAAAGTAGTTAATTATATTATAAGAAGCTAGCTGCTAATCTATGTAATCTTTTATAAAAGCTTGCAAGCACTGATTATATAAATTAATAACTGTTATTATTTATTATTATTATTCTTCAATTATAAATGTATATAGTTATAGACTATAATATCTATTTAGAAACTAAAAGTTCTCAGAGTTTTTCTAATATCTATAGAGTTAACTATTATACATAGACTGACTGCTGAGACTATGAATTTCATATTTAATCTCATTTAATCTGATCTCATACATTTCTTGACATGAATCTCACTGAGACTAGTTATTAAAAAAACATGCAAAGTAACTATATATCAGATTTTAAAATGAAATCATGACTTGAAAAAAATGAGAAAGTGATTTCATTTAATCTCATTTAGTCTCATTCTTGATATAAAGTGACTATTTTTAGACATTTTAAGGTTTTTTTTAGACTATTTTTAATTTTTTAAAAAGTAATGCTTTTTGATAATACTTAAATGAGATTTAAAGTCATTTAAAGCAATAAAAATAATTTAAATTGAGAAGTGAAAATCATGATCTCATTTGAAAAATGTGATAAGAGTAGACAGTAAGTCTCACTGAGACAGTATGAGACTACTATCTAATGTTAAAACTGTGGAATGAAATCAGTTGAATTGGTAATGAAACTATTAAAAAATCTGATTCTGGTCTCAGACACGGTCACACAGTCAGTCTAATTATACATTTATCAATTTCAGATATGTAAAATCAGAAAATTTCAGCTCAGAATATAAAAACTCTTTATAAATTGCAGTATTCTAACATCTTCTAATACTTTGAAATCATTTGAAAATATCATAATAAAGAAAAAGGGAATAAAGTCTTAAAGATAAACATATTAAATAAGTGAATAGAAAAGAATAGAAAAGAAAGAGTAAAGTAAAGAGAGTGTAGCATACGCCGCTACATAGAGTCAGATATAAGAGTAAAAACATGTCTGATTCTCTAAAAGATAAGAGATGAGTGTACATCTCTATATATACAGTGATTGTTTTATAGAGATTAACTCTTATAGAAGAAGTAATTGCATATGAAGAAAAGAACAGAGAGTCTGTAGAGAAGAAGTGAAAGCTCTCATAGTAGAAGTAATTGCATATGAAGAGAAAAACAGAGAGAGAAAATAGAAGCAGAAGCTTCAGAAAACAGTAAGAAATAAAGTGAAAGCTAGAGTTGAATAGAGAATTGACTTGAATAGAGAACAGAAGCACATCACAGTTTCTCTATTTAAAAGAATATATTCACAGAGAAGAAAAATGACATTGAAAGAAGATAATGAGTATCACAGATACTAGGCTCAAAGAGATAAACAGTGTTCAGAAGTACTAGTCTGTTTATATACACTGTAGATATTATAGAAAGAGAAGATTAAGTGATAAAATTGCTTTATCTATACAAAGAGTGATCAGATGTAAGAATTGTTTATTTATACAAAGAGTGAAAGATGTAAGAACAGCTTGAAAAGAAATGATAAAGAAGAGATGAAAGCTCTTCAATCTAAAAACAGCTGTAAGAAAAGAAAGAAATTGTAAAGAAATTACAAGAAGCTTGAATAAGAGAGAGTTCTTTGATGAGATAGATAAGAGTGAAAGTTTTATTATGACAGAGAGAAGGTTCTGTGAGTGATAGAAGTTAAAAGACTAAAATTATGTAGATTATTATTATTATTATTATTATTCTTCAATTATAGATGTATGCAGTCAGAGACTATGACATCTACCTGAGAACTTTTAGTTCTCAGGGATTTTCCTATATCTGTAAAGTTAACTATTATACATTCATCAATTTCAGATATGTAAAATCAGAAAATTTCAGCTCAGAATATAAAAACTGTTTACAAATTGCAGTATTTTAACATCTTCTGATACTTTGAAATCATTTGACAATATCATGACAAAAGAAAAGAGAACACAGTCTTAAAGATAGACACATTAAACAGATAGATAGAAAAGAATTGAAAGAAAAAGATAAAGTAAAGAGAGACTGTAATAAAACAAATTATTAAAAGATAGTATATAGCTGTTTTAACAGATTATATCTGATTAATTTTCTTCTCTTCATATTCAGATATTTCTGAATTTAGTCATTTTTTTATAGCTGCTTAAGTTTCTGATAGAAAGTCTATTAAGTATTTAATTCCTGTCTCAGTTGAGAATAAGAATCTTATATCTAATTGATTTAGATTATACTTCTCTTTCAATCTGACTCTGAGACTATTGTACAATGCACAGTGTATTATAATATGCTCAGAATTCTCATTTATATTGCAGAATAAGCATTCTATTGAATCAAATCTATCATCAAATCTTTGTATATAAGATTTAAAATAGTCATGTCCTAGTTTCAGCTGTATTATAGATGAGAATATTTTCTTTTTATATTTAATTGAACAAGATTTTCACTTGAGTTTTATTTCAAATCTTGAATAATGTATACTCTTCTTTTATTTCTGTCAGCTTTCATTTCACTTATCTAAACAAGATTCTTTTATTTTTCTCTTGATAAAAGATCAGAATATAATTTTTTGAATAGATCTGCTTAATTCTGAACTTTTTTTTACAGCTGAATCAGTCAATTCATTGTCATGAATATTCATATGAGTAGGAACTTAGTGCATATGAATTATAAGCTTTGATATTCTTCTCTTTTGAATTTTCAAAACAGAGTCTATTATTATTATTATTATTATTATTCTTCAATTATAGATGTATGCAGTCAGAGACTATAACATCTACCTGAGAACTAAAAGTTCTCAGGGTTTTTCCTATATCTGTAAAGTTAACTATTATACATTCATCAATTTCAGATATGTAAAATCAGAAAATTCCAGCTCAGAATACAAAAACAGTTTACAAATTGCAGTGTTTTAACATCATCTCATACTTTGAAATCATTTGACAATATCATGACAAAGGAAAAGAGAACACAGTCTTAAAGATAGACACATTAAATAGATAGACAGAAAGAAATTGAAATGAAAAGATAAAATAAAGAAAGACTGTAACAAAACAAATTATTAAAAGATAGTATATAGCTGTTTTAACAGATTATATCTGATTGATTTCCTCCTCTTCATATTCAGATAATTCTGAATTTAGCCATTTTCTTATAGCTGCTTGAGTTTCTGATAGAAAGTCTATTAAGTATTTAATTCCTGTCTCAGTTGAGAATAAGAATCTCATATTTAATTGATTTAGATCATACTTCTCTTTCAATCTGACTCTGAGACTATTGTATAATGCACAGTGTATTACAATATACTCAGAATTCTCATGTTGTATTACAGAATGAGCATTCTATTGAGTCA